GAAAGAGTGACTGGAAAAATCACTTAGGAAAGGGAAGGAACATTTTCATGTGGAGAAAAGAGAAGAAAAATGGGAAAAAAAGAGCAGTGTTTGAAGAAAGATGGAAAACGAGTGGCATAGGTGCCTCTTGCTTTACTTCAGTAGAAGCTGGGAGAAAGGAGTGTGATTAGGGAGTTCTCTGCAATTGCAGTGGAGGAAGAGATAAGTCTCATGAGGAACGCCTTGTCCTAAACTTTATGGGTCAACATTACTATGGGAGAAGAACATGTGACTCATCGGAACTCACAGAGAAGTGCCTCCCATGTGGCAGAATCTCTCTAAGCAACAGTACCTTTTGCAGAAACCACTGCAGGTCCTTTGAAATAAGGCTTCATACATGTGAATTGCAATATTTCCAAAACTGAGGAAATTTCTCAAAGAAATGGGTATTTGAGCATATAGGTCAATGGTTTTTTTGCTATTATTCTATGTTCTCTGATAAACAAGAACATTGCATAGGGTGGGTTTGTTGTTTTTTTTTTTGTATGCAGGGAGGGCAGTTTGTGCTTTAAGTAGCACTAAACTGTGTAACCTTAAAGTGGTGTGTGACCTGCATGAGCCTGAAACTGTTCCTGGGAAGTGTAAGACAAATGGGAGCATAAAAGTAGATTTATTTCTTTTTTTAGTTCTTTCTCTGTGGCTAGATAGGGGAGGATATTCAGGAAAGTCCAACAGTATTTTCATTATAAACTACGTGTGGTATGTTTTTCATTGTTGTTTGGTTTTGTGAGTTTTTGCTACTCTCTCACTGCACATTTTTCTACAGCTGTGCAAACAATTGATTTATTGTTATTGTAGTCTGTGGTGCTGACAACAAATCAAAATTAACATGGAGGAAAAGTTTTGGGTAAAGCCAAACCCATCTGTATTTCTCTAATGTGCAAGGGGACCAGAGAAGAAAACACAAGTGTTTTACTGAGTTTGAAGCAAACTTCAATTTTTTTCAGGAATGTTATTGAAAGCAGTAGGCTCTCTGGACACTTGTACATTTTTCCTGAGATCAGTTATTGACTCTGGTGTTTGAAGATACCTTGGTCCCACTATCCTTCCTGGCTGATTTGGTTTGGAATTTAAACAAAGGACTCCTACTTGCCAGGAAAATTCCTGTTGCTTCCACAACAGAGAAGATGATCTACTCCCTGCATGCACCATCCCAGTACATATGTGGCTTAGTGGCTAGAGTTCCTTGAAGGGTTCAAGACTTGGGTTACATCCAATTCCTGAAGAGTACAAATGAGGAAATTTTACTCAAGTCTCCAGCACTCTAGATAACTGTCATGGTTACATAGCATGCAGGTGCTGACGTCTTATTTTGCTGAGAAATAACTGTAGAAGAACAGAGCTCTGACTGGTCTGTCAGGAAAGCAGCTAGTGACTAGTCCATCTACTGACTCATGTATAGGGAACCCAGACTCATCTGGTAGGCACCTTAAGTTAGCTGGTTTTGAGTTGAATACACCTGTAAAAAATCCCTTTGTGAATCTAGTATGAATAAGCTGTGCCGTCTTGAAATGCTATGATAAAACATCTGAATAACTAAACATTATTGTTTTGTTTATTCTCAAACGTTTTCTTAGGCTAATGTTATTTCTCTGAATTCACAAATATTTTCAGGATCAAAGAAATGCAATTTATATAAATAAAACATATGCAAAAGTAAATTGAATTAATAAAAGAAATGCAGCCTCAGTTTTTCCTACTTCCATATTGCCAGCTTGAACAAAAGCCTTTCATTGACAATTTTCTCTTTTTTTAGCAATCAATTCGTGAGATTAGGGAGAGATTCTGGAACTGAGAGTGGTTTCTGCTTGTGTAGTTATTACCATCTTTGCGCCCAAGGTGCCATTACATGGTAAAGCACCATTCAGTGTATGGACAAAAGATGTCAGGCCATGTACTATTAAATATAAAACCTGAATAGGAACAGTTTGAAAAATTTTGTCTGTCTTCTTAAACCGAATTACTTTCAAAGACCTTCTAAAAAAAACCCATTAGATTTGCAACGCATTTAAAGGCACGCAGCTTTTATAGCTTTTTATTCCAGAGATGCCAACCCATTTTTCCACCTGATCTCTCACTTTCCAGGCATATTTTATGCAGTCTAAATAGCTGTTTATTTTGTGTGCATTGCAATTTTAATTTGCCCTGGCTCAGGCTGTTTTCAGACACAGGCATCTTATGTTCCCCTCAGTGCAGATGGACTGTGCATGCATACGTATTCACACAGAATTTCTACTTCTGTTCCTTTTTGCCGCTTTCAGTAACAGTTCTGCAGACTAAAGGTATGTATTTCCTTTTTGCATATGGGAATACTTAATGCTGTGTTTGTTACTGGCAAAAAGTGAAAGGGAAATATTAGAACTGAGTCTTCGGGATAAATGAGCACACTGTTGGATTCATGGACTTGATCCTACCACTGTTACCGATGCGGACAGTCTTATTCATGAGAGTGGTCCCACATGAGGAGGATTCCTTCACGTGGAAGGATTTTAGAGCTTTCATGTGTTCCTGGAGGCTATGGATTCTTAACCTGGTCTTGTGAACAGGGAGTAGTGACCATTCTGTCTCATATGTAGAACAGGGTACAAGCTAACCTCTGGCTGCAGATGTTGGGGCTGGGAGAGCACAGTAACATTCTGGGTAAGGCTAAGAATTAGGAAGTCATACAAATAAACTAGGTTCCAATTCTGATCTCATGCTCTGGAGTAAATTAGAGTTATTTCATCAGAGCTAACTAATTCAGAAACTGATGTTTCAGCCTTTTGTATTGCAAACAGAATTAATTTACCTCTTCTCCTCAGCAGCATTCCATCAGCAATTTTCAACCTCTATTTACAAGAAGGTAGGGCAATTAAAATTTGTATCCAAATACACCATGTCTTATTTATCCAGTATTTGCACATGTATAATTTGTAAGAGTCTTAAGTTACAGTTAGCAGGAGCTAGATGAGTACAGAGTCACAAGGAGCATCTTGCTTTTGGGTATTCCGCAAGTGATCAAGATACCAATGGTCATGCTTAGCTCAAGTGACAGTATGGGGCATGTGCAACATACTAGTACTGACTAATTTAAAACTGCACAATTTCCTTCTTAGTGTGATAGCATTCTATGATGATGGCTTCTGCAGATAATTAGAAGCATACAAAGATAGTAGTAAAACATAAGCAGCAGGTCTCCAAAGAATCCTACAGTTAGGTGTAAACATTCATAATTAGGTATATTTGGAATTACCAAACCTTTATTAAACAGGCATTGGTCACCACTTGCTTTGGATCTACTATGTCCACCAAAGGCTCCTTCATGGCAACATCCCTAATACAGGTCATGTCAAAGCCGTACACATTCTCCCACCCTGTCAATGCAAATGGATGTGTCAAAGATTAGCAGTAATAATAAAAATATTTTTTGTTTCTCAAAGCATCTTTCATTTGAAAGAATCTCTACCATCCCCTAACTTTCAGCTCTCCTCTTTTTCTCTTTGCTCCCTGCCCCAGTTGTCTGTGTCATCATTGATGTTTTACAGATAATGCCGTTGTGGCAAAATAACCCCTCAATGTACACCTTTGAATAAGGGCCCCCTGTTTTTTGGTGTCCTCAAAAGTGCATTATATGAGATTTGTTGATCATTTTCATGGCTTTAAACATGTGAGAGTGTTGCCCAAAATCACGTAATATGTCAGGCTGAGACTTGAGAATCGCTGTCAAGATTATTCTATCCTTCCAGTACGGCTCAAACCACAACACCTATCCATTCTGGTTAATATTACCTTTTTCAACCAGCAGTTTGCATGCTCTTTTAATTATTTAAGTAGTCTTAGTTTCAGCAAGTGAATTACTGACAGGAGTAGATTACAGGTGTGTTTCAATATTTGGGGCATCCACATTTTAATCTGCATGTGTATTATGACAAAAAAGCAAAATGTCCACTTTCTAAAAGATTTAAAAGCAATAGTGATCTCCTATATTTGAACTATTCTTCTGATTGTTCCAATAAATGTTTCTTATCTTGCTGAGGTTTTTTTTTGTCTTTTTTTTTTTTTTGTCTTGAACAAATAGTGCCCTAGAGAAGAGTACACTGGCTTTGCTTTTAAAATTGCTTCACAAAATAAAAAAAAAGACCCTCCAAAAAAAGTGAAATCTTAGGCTTATGAATCATATGGGTCAAGGTCCATTCAGTGCTCCATCTGAAAGTCTAAACTGAATACTGTGAACTTTTAAAAAGAATGTCTGAACACAAGCAAGGTAAACCAATAAACAGCAATAGTGAGCACATTCGAAATGTCTTGTTTTTTTCAGAGCATAGCATTTGAGCTACTGATGTTCCCAGAGGACTATGATTGAAAATGTAGTATGAAAAAAAAATCTGCATATCTCTAAATTGGAACAAATCTGGACATGAACAGCTTTTTGGTATGTTATCCCTTTATTAGGCTGTCAGTTTCTCAATATTTCAGGGGAGCTGGTGATGAAAACTTTCGTTTCAGGCATGAGCATGGGGCAACTTCAGATTATACTTATAGAAGCCACATCTTATTATGTGCTTACTCAGAAAACATTAACTAGGAAACCCTAGGAACAATTTGTTAACAAATCTGTTTTGTTGGCACCTCCATCACTTGATGTACTTCAGCCTATATAGGATGCCTTTGAAACGTCACAGTCTGTATTAGACAGAGACCTGTCACAGGAGTTAAAATATAAAACTGTATGTTTTCCATTTTACAGGAAATCAGAGTAACTGCCTCTAGTAGTACTTTGTGGCATTAATAAAGTTCGAGAAATCAGAAGTCAGATTTTTTTTAGAGACTTCACATTGCATTATTTCTTAATCAATACGATGGTTCTTGAGTGCCCTTTGAAATGCTCAGCCCTGCATCTCACATGAAGGCAAGACTCTATCCATCTTAAGAGAAAAAAGTAAGATGGAAAACTGAAACATAAGGAGACACCATCAAGGATTTATAAACTGAAAAGAGAGACACGATGGTGGTGCAGAGAGGTAGTGAGATGCAAATAACTGAAGAAGACATGGAGGTATAAAAAGTGAGGGGGGAAGGGAAATCAAAGGTGAAATCAGAAAAGAAAGTGTCTTAAAGGAAACCAACATTTTAGAAGAGAAAAGGAACTCGAAACATTTTTTTAAATGGTGAAAAATAAACCAGTTGAAAACAGGTGTATTGTCTGTGAGAAAAGAAAAAGGCTCATGGCCTAGAAAGGAAGGGGCTCAAAAGCAAGGTGAAAGAAGGCATAAGGGATTTTTTTTTTAGGCCAAAAGGGCTTTGATTCCTTTACAGAATGCATGCCTCATACATCCTTTTGAATCTGTAAAATTTGTAAGGAATTTAGCTATCGAGGTCATCACATAACTGAGGAGAAAAATCTAGGCTGTGCTTGACGAGTAGCTATCATTCTCCCTGGCACCTACGCATACATCTTGTCACTGCCCCATTGCACTGGGCTTGCTTTTGACCCGAAATGGCAGTTTTGACCCATTGGCAGTGCTGTGTATTGGCACTGATTTGATTACAGAAACACCAAACTTTCTTTTCTGAGAGGAGCTGAGAGGCAAGGAATGAGGAGTTAGGCATTTTCATTTAAAGGTTGACTGAACCCACTAATTTTACCCATGCTTTTGCATATATCTTTAGTTAATAAAACTGCTTAGGAATTTTGTGATTTTTTTTTCCCCTGACGGAAAATGCCTTTAATTGAAATTAACCAGCTCTGAAAAATAAATAAAAGCAAAACAAAAAAAAAAGAAAAAAAGAAAAAGAAGAGTGAAATAATGTAGAATTTACTAGTTTCATCAAAACTATTATGAACAAATAAATGCAAACTTGGGTGACCTGGGGGACAACAAGTTGAATGTGAATGGAGTATGACACTGTGGTGATGAAGGAGAACCACATGCTAAGATATAAGGAGTGTCCAAGAAAAATGGTTTTGCCTAACTTGGCTTAGCAAAGACTAATGGTGAGATCTAGTTGCTATCTGCTGCTACAGAAACAAAGAAGTCAGATTCCCTTCAGGTGGCAAGGGACGATGAAGGCAAGTTTCAGCAAGGAAAATTCCGACTGGATATTCAGAAACATGTTTACTCCTGAGACTGCTTCACCATTTGAACAAGCTCAGAGAAGCTATGGAATCTCCATCTCTTGATTCTGCAGCGCATGGCCCTGAGTGACATGCTTTAACTGTGAAATCTGGCCTGCTTTGAACAGGAGGCTGGACTAGGTGACCTGTAGATGTCACTAACAGCACTAATTATTCAATTAAACTCCAAAAACCCCCACACTTTAAATGTAAAGGAAAAGTCAATTTTATGCATCCATGAAGTAAACCAAAAAAGTTTAGAATTTTTTTCACATCAAAGTAAAATGGAAATTTCTGATCCTTATTTTTCATCTAAAATTTGTCACATAAGGTGTCAAAAAAGGTAAAGAATCACTATATTTTTTTTTCTTCTTGACAAGCATATTAGTGAGATGTTTTTTCTAGCTTTACTACTTAAAATTTACAATTCATTTGCATCTTATTAATGTTTCTGGTTTTGTTATTTTAAAAACAAAAAGCACCAAGTGGATGGCAAGAGAATATTATCCATTTTAATGGCAGTTATGTGGGATGATACCAAAACACCAACGAAACCAAATCTCCTAAAATCCACATTTTAAAACAGAGGTAAAGGTTTCAATATAACTCTAAGCAAGGTCTACATCAAATTATTCATGCATCTTTCCTTTGTGCACTTTAAATTACTGCAAGTTTCCTGAATTTATCACCAGACTAGAGTTTTCCCAGTGTTCACATTTATAATAGAATCCTGACCTGGTCAGCGTGATTTCTTAGCTTCTGCAAAACTTTGCTAGTGAAGAGATTACAGTAGGCCACTATAAATCAAATATTTTAGGGAAATAACCATAGAAAAGTGTTAGGTGTTTACTCACAGTGAATTTTGAAGTCCTTGTACTGTCTGTCTTCAATTGCTACCACGTACAAAGCAGCTCGGTCTGGAAACATTAGCCCTCCAGGTTTCTGTTGATGAATTGTGGGGAAATGGATCTCGTAATCTATTCACCTGACAAAGACATCACATTTTGAACTGCACATACAAAAACCAGACAAGCAGACTTGCATGCCTTTATTGTTTTCCTTCAGATTGTCACATGAGCTTTAATCTCAGCAACTGTCGCAGCCTGTGGCAATGTCATTAGATAGTGTCTATACGAATTTCACCAGCGGTTAATCAAAAGCAAAGCTCTTTCACTGACATTCCCTTTGTTAGTCTTTTCGTTAAATCCTAAGAAATGGCACTTGGAGATGTAACTGTCTTGTTATGGTGACAGCAGGAGAGGGAAGGCTTGAAGTCAGACAATAAATGACGATTGCTCCAGCAAGGAGTATGACATGCAGAGCACCTACCAGCCACTTGTCTCGTGCGAAGATGACTGTGTTTAACATTGACTCATAGAACAGACAGTAACCCATCCACTCGCTGATGATGATGTCTACTTTGTCCACAGGTAATTCAACTTCTTCGACTTTACCTTTAAATATTGTGATTACTGAAAAAAAGAATCCAAAGAAATATGTTTCACATAATAAAACACCTCACTAAGTTCCTTACTGGTGAATGTCAGGCTGACCTTTTCAATATGGTTCTCTTCTTGAATGACTGCAGATAAGGTGTGACTCCACGCAACTCAATGGATTTTATGCTATTTTAAAACTACTTGCAGTAAATATAATAAACAGAAGTTTTAGTATCAGTATAAAAGAAAAAAAACCAAACAACAACAACCAAAACCAAACCCCAAACCAAATAAAACCCATATTTAAAAAACAACAGAAAAACAGGCCTTACCTGGTTACCTGCATGATCTCATTTTACATGCCATTTGGAAGATTGCTAGATCATTGACCAAGTAATGCAAAGAATCCACCTAGATTCCTCTAAACATCCCTGTATGGTTACATGTAAATGATCTCATCACTGACATACTAGAGATTTATGGAACTAGGACCTAATTCTCATCTGCTTTTCAAACATTATGCTCAATTCACAATGAGGAAACTAAGGCTTATTACTTCCATGAACACGGTGGACGTACCTCAACTAAGAAAGTCACATCTGGTCTGACAGTACACAAATAAGAAAGTTTGTACAAACACTGTTCTTTCATGAAAAATAATTTTTCATTCCTTTCTGCTTCATGATTGAATCCTTTATAACATACTGGCATTCTCACTCTGAATCTTCTGTCTGGTTTAGACTTGCATAACTTTCCACAGTTATCTAAAGTGAATGCTGGAAAACATTGCTCTCAGGTATTTTGTCACCAAATTGGTTTCAAGGAAATTAAAAAGGTTGCTAGAAGTCTGATGTAGCAGAATACCATACCCTCAGAGGCACTATTACAACACAAGGCATTAAATTACTGGCAGTACTGTAAACTACTTACAGGAGACTGGGTATGCACTGCAAAAGCAAATCAACAAGCAATTAATAGAACTGGTTGATACTAGAACAGATATTTTGCTTAAAGGAAAATTACATGCTGGTCCATATTTAGTTCAGTTGTAACAAATAATTTTGTTCTAGGATCACTACACAATTCACTGATCATTCTTGCATTTTAAAAATATATATTTCCTATTTGCAAATGAATTCCAAATTCTTTAGACAAATATTTTCAGCTTGTGTTTGTCTGCTATTTATATGGTCTGTTGCAATGGGTAAAGTCTTGTGCTTCTGGATTCTTCCTTGACAAAGCAACAGACGCACTTGAAAACCAGGAATAAAGTGAGTAAGGAATATTTTACTTTCCGTTACTGATTGATAAGATTACTGTATTATTCTTAATAAATGGCAATTGTTAATGATGACAATTTTTATTGATGAAAGTGGTCAACATTCAGTTTGAGGAAGCTGAAGGTACTTGCACTTAGCTAGAACTCTGTTTAAGAGTCGAAGTGTGGGTTGAGTGATTTTTAGAACTCAGCCCAGGAAAAATGAGGTTTCGTCTTTTCAAAATACATCGACTACTAGTATCACTTTAACCAGATGTGGCCACTTCATTTGCACAGCAAACTTCTAATCCAGACTGGGCCCCTAAGAAGTTGGGAACACTCTGACTCAGACTCGTAACACAAAGTATCAGCTGGTAAGAGCAACCTGATTGGAAAAGAGCAGAGTTCTCTTCTCCTTCCCTTTTTTAAACTTCCTTTCACAGTTAGTAGCTCATTAGTTCATCTGTCGTTATACTGAAGACTCTTCATGTCTATAAGGTCTAGCCACAAGTTCTCTTTTCTCCTGAGAACTTTCACTGCCACTTCTTTTGGAGTGAATTTTAGCACTGCTGACAGCTGCCAGAGCGAAACACCTGCAGACTCCGAAGCCCTCTGTTTGTACCTAGAACAGCCACAGTGTAAGGAGCAGCAGCAGCAGCACAAGTTCCTCCCACCTCCCTTCACTTCGATAAAACATCTTCATAAGGCACTATGCGGGAACAGATTGTGCTGTCCCCAGCTGTATTGTATCTGTTCTGAAAACAGTGGCTTTCCTCTTGGCTCAGGCCTTTTGCTGACTCTGTATTTCTCTAAACAATTAGCAGGACAAAAAGAAAAATTTCCATAAGCAACAAGAGCCTTTGGCTCGGTACCTGGGTGCATTAAAATAAAAGTGAATGTGGGTCAGTGTAAAGTGTGCACTTGTAAATGTTAGTTCAGTTGTGTAGTTTTATATTGGAGACGAAACTGCAGTCCAGGCAAGTCTCCTGCCAAAGGGGAAGGGTCTCTGCTTCTTCCTCCACAGTTTTTCCAAGGACTCACTCCTTGCAGAAACAGGAGCAAGAAGCAGAGATAAATACCTTCCGCAACCTCTGGAGCACACTGGATCCTTCTTATTTATTCTGACAATGGTCCCTTCACACACAATTCCTGTTGCTGGAAATCTAAATGTGAATTGATTTATGGTATGCTGTTTGTGTAGCTATTTGATGAAAGGCCATTCTGGGAATATATGGGCTCTGCACCAAAGGTGCAGGATAACCACACTGAGATTAGCACCTCATTGTTTTAATGCTTTATCCCTACTGTGGAGCAGAGTATTTTCTGGTCCTTTGCTTCCTTCTTTTTCTGAACCAGAAGTTGCATACACTGGCTGGCCTCTTATATCCCATGTCACAGCTATTTCTTTCATGCTATACCACTTGAATACGCACGCTGTCCAATAAATTCTCCTCCCAAACAGCTCTGTGTTAGTCAGAAGCTGCCAGTGACAGCAAGAAAAATTAGAGCAGACCTAAACCAGAAGAGAAATCTCATGTGTTAGCATAGCAGCGGCACAGACACAGCTAAAAGGGGGGGTAAATGATACGGTCCAGCCAGCTATGACCTGCGCTGCTCGGCAGAAGAGGCAAGCTCTTCACAAAGAGAACTTTTAAACAAGAACTGTCTCACAGCCTCAGTTAAAAAAAGCCTGATAAAAAAATCAGGTTGTTATGAAGATATCTTGTGTGCAGTGATTTGGAGGAGGACTGAAGACAGGAAACAGAGCTTGTTGGAAATTTTTTGTTAAGAGTTTTCAGTAGGTTGGGGGTATTTTTAGCATTTTTTTTAAACTGAAGTGTTTCCACGTCCCTGGAAATTTCAACAGTTTTCCTTTCAAGAAAAAAAGTTTCCTATGATACTGTTATTCTGAGAATTGGACATTTTCATTTGTGTGAGTGTGTGTATTTCAATATGATTTTTTTTAAAACTGTTTTTTCTAAAGTTGAAAGCCAGAAGAAACTCTTAGTGAAAAATCTGTATTAATATGGAATACTTTGTACCTAATTTCAATTTGAATGTAAGTGCATGTGTGTATGTTGATTCCATTTGAGAGATAAGGTGGAATTCAGATGGTAGAATTAATGTGAAAAGTTCAGCTCTAATATGGGGCCTTCTTTCTGTTTTGCTAAATCAAACTGGCCGCTGATGAGTCCTATTTGCTTCTGTTGTCTGTGAGCCTAGAAGTAAATGTAGAGGTAACTTCTGTGAAGAATTGTCGTACTGCCTAGAATGAGATGTTTGGTTTTGTATTTACATAAGTAAATTACGCAAAACTACCATTTACATATTAAGCACACAACATAAATTAATCAGAAAAAGCAAAACAGTTATCTTGTCTTTCTCCTGAAGAAATTATTTTTATATATGCCTTACTATTGTCCAAGTGGTTGGCCTTGATAATTTTTTCTGAGTAGTCAGATATACTTGAGCATTCAATCTAGGAAAAAAAAGAAAAAAAGAAAAGCAAGAGGAAGAGTAATTATGTGTGAAGAGATCTCAACTACAGAATAAAACCAAAATCTACTGAAAGCAGCAAGGACTCTACAGAGCATGTAACCATTGATAAAGAGTAAGCCAAACCCGTGTGGGGCAGGATTATGATCAGTGATATCTTAATATTTTAACTGCAGGCTGTGTTTGACTTACACTGGCTTATATAGAAAAGATTGGTTTTAGAACTGTTGAAATGTGGAAAAAACAGGTCCTAACTACAAAATTACATAATTTATTAATCATATTATTTAATTTATTCCTCCTACTTTAGAGTATTGCCTCCTCCCCCCCCCCAAAAATCTGCTAAAGGGAATGAATTAGCATGGTGTTACATTTCCTCACGTATTCTAAAACAAAATACATTCAAACTTCATGAATAATGTTAAAATTCAAACTATACCAATACTGGTCTGTGTCAAGAAGCAATTGGTTTTCTCCATGAAAAATCTATCATCTTTGGCAATGCATGCTATCAAAAAGAATACAGACATTTTACACGTAAGAAATCACTGAAATTATTGTATTTACAAAAACATCCAGATCTGCATGTCTTTTCTTATGAGCAGTTCTGTGCTTTTACTAGGAAAGAATCACAAAGTAACTTCTAGTTTTAGATTTGCCGTTAAATTTCTTAAAATCTAAGTTCTAGCATAAAGCCCATGTTTGCAATGACCTTTGATAGCTTTTAGAGAAATACTGCATTCCACTAATCTCTCTGGGTTTTGTGCCCTTTTAAAATCATGAGGGCCAAAGTTGCTGGTAGTCACCTAGTCTGTTCCTAATTTTACTCTTCCAAATTTGACACTAAACTGCCAATAATACTTTGTATAATCCTTGTCTCTCTAATTCCCCTATGGGTATGTCAAATAGAATTATATTATCTCTAGTGGGGTGTTTTATATATCCAGTGAATTCCATCTAACCTCTAAAAGGCAAACTGTGCTTGACCTCTGTGGTGGCACTCACAGATGGCAGGACTGTGGACAGAAGTACACACACATCCCTTATTCTTTTTATATAGCCCATGAAACAGCTAAGCATAATAGCAGTTATAATATCAATCCCTGTCCCCATGGGAACAGAAGCATTACTTCTACTTAGCTTGCCTGTGGATGTAAAACGCTTCTTAAGATGTCTGACTCAATGGCCTGAACATAAATCAAAACTGGCATGTAGAAAGGAACACCTGAGTGCTAGTCCAGACAGTCCAGGTAAGAATTCGCTTGGGGAGAATTCCACCCCTTTTTCTCCATCCAGCTTCTTCTACCCTTACTGTAAACTGTGTAGACTATATGCCTTATCTATACTTAAAGTCATTATAACATACTCGGTTTTCCTGTCTGTCTTCACAACTGCCTGGCATTTTCAATTCCATTGCCCATTCTTTTTGCTTGTTTTGGATGATTTTAAAATAAAGCATGGGTATGTAGGTGTTTGGAGGTGGCTTTCCAACCTTTCTAAAGAAAAAGATGTGAAGAAATAAAAAAGTTCTATTTCATGAATCACTACAAGTTTCTGAAAATCAGCTTCATTCTCAAAGAAGCAGAATAATAAAAAACCAACACTCAGATGTTCTAGGAAGGAAGATACGTTTCGGAAAATAAACTTGCTTTAGGGTGGATAAAGCTGTTCATCTCTATTTTGACTTGGACTCTATACTGCAGTAAAATTTTATTTTAAAAAGCAACTCATTTCAGAAAAAGAAAATACTGAATTCTGTAGGTGAAGAAATAGAAAAAAAATTCAGTGTTGTTGTTTTTTCCCCCCAGTTCCCTTTCAAGTCAGTGATCTGCTCAAATCTGTCCAATTTTACAAAGCATTTGGATTTAATGAAACCCGTGTGTTCCAATAAAATATGTACCTCAGTTTACAATCACAGAATTATAGAATGGTTTGGGCTGGAACGGACCTTCAAAGTTCTTCTAGTCCAACCCCCATGCCATGGGCAGGCCCATCTCTCAATAGATCGGGTTGCTCAAAGCCCCAGCAATGTGGGGTCCACAAATTCTCTACGAAACCTATTCCAGTGTCTCACCACCCTCATCATAAAATATGTCTTCCTTATATCCAGTCTAAATCTACCCTCTTTCAGTTTAAGACCACTGCCCCTCCTCCTATCACACTTTCTCCACGTTTCTTATAAGCCCCCTTTATATTTCGAAAGGCCACAATAAGGCCTCCCCAGAGCTGCTTCTTCTTCTCCAGGCTGAACAACCCCAACTCTCTCAGCCATTCTTCTTAGGAGAGGTGTTCCATCCCTCTGACCATTTTTGTGGCCCTCCTCTGGAGACGCTCCAACAGATCCATGACTTTCTTGTACTGGGGACCCGAGAGCTGGATGCAGTACTCCAGGCGGGATCTCACCAGAGCGGAGTAGAGAGAGAGTATCACCTTTCCCAACCTGCTGGCCACACTTATTTTTAGGCAGCTTGGGATACAATTGGCTTTCTGACCTGTAAGCACACATTGCTGGCTCATATCCAACTTTCTATCCACCACTATTCCCAGTCTTTCTCTGAAGGGCTGCTCTCAATCAGTTCATCACCCAGTCTGCAGTGACATTGGGGTTTGCCCTGATTCAAGTGCAGGACCTTGCACTTGGCCTTGTTGAGCTTCATGAGGTTCAAACCGGTCCAGTTCTCAAGCCTGTCAAGGTCCCTCTGGACTGCATCCTTTCCCTCAGGTGTATCAACTGCACCACTCAGCTTTTTGTCATCTGCAACCTTGCCAGGGGTGAGTCTCTACTTTTATTTTTCTTCTCAGTCTTCAATCTAATGCTGCCAATGTCTGCTCTTTTACTGGGGTTGTCTTCTGAAATAGTCACCACATTCCCAGATTTCCTTTTCCCCTGGCATGTGTCCTCATCACCACCTCTTTATCCAAATCAACTAACATCTGACATTTGCCTTTATTTTATGTGTATGTTTAACTCCTTCTTACCTACCCTGTCGTCTTTGCC